TAATTCGAGGATCGAAGTCGACACGCGAGTCTGAGGATCTTTTTTTTCTTCTCTTTTTTTTTAACGTATTTCTCTCTTTTAAGTGTAGGATTATGTGTGGATAGTTGTTGACGCTTATTTATTTAAATCGAAGTGTAACTTCGATTGAAATCAATCTTTCCCGGAACATTCTTGCGCGAGTTTTGTAATTATTATGTTTCTGGTAGATTCTTTTCTTTTTCCTACCTGTTTTCCGTCTTTCCCTGTAGGTTTCTTCATTTTTTGTTACGACGTTAACTTACATTCTTGTCGGGTTAATTTATGTTATCGGCTAACTGTCAGCTGTACTTTCCGTACTCTATTTTTGTGAACGTAATACGTTTCAACGTTCGTACTTCATCGTAGAGAATAATCACGCAATCACGTCGATTTTACTGTAAACGAACGAAAAATACTTAACGATCGCACCTGCGAGTCGACGTTCTCGCCGAAGCGAGTCACACGAGCTTGGGTCGGCTTTGAAAAAGACGCGAGCAAGAATTGTTTCGATATCCATTTACAATTCTCGGTGGATTAAATGTTAGGCGAAATTGTTATCTTCGAAACTATGAAGCGTGATCTTTTATTCGTACTCGATGTCGAACGTTTCAGAAGTTGGAGAAAAACAGAACGTTTTCCGTGGTTGTTTAGGTAATTTTTAAGAAATGAGAGAAAATGATAAAAAAAATGTTTTCAAAATGATCGCATGGACATCGAAAAATCGCTCGCGTGATCCTAACTCCGCCCTTCAGAAACATAGCGAACGTGAGTAAAAGTATTTAAAAAAAAAAAAAACAAACAAATCCGTGTTTCACTTTTTGCACTTTTTTGCTACTCGTTGACAAAACGACAGAACTGTCCTGCTATTACGAAGTTTCTGCGTCCCGATGAATTTTGTAACGACCAGTATGATCGTAAACGTGTGACGAGAACTGTATGCGAGGAAATCGATAATAAAGGAATTTCTATGATTCACGATCACCGGCAAACCGTCTTTCTCATGTTTCATTTGTTTAAACGGCATCGAAGGTCGACGAAAAGTTAATATGAGATTAAAAATATACCCAATCATCTAATTTCATTTTTTTTTTTTTTTTTAATATTGCAGGAAGTCAGTGAATTTGTGGATTTAACACTTTGCAATCGAGTGGCGACTGAGAAGCGACATTAAATAATTAATGAAGAGAACAGATCTATGGGCCTCCATAAATTTCTTCATCACAGTGAATATTTAAATAAAATAGTGTACTTTATTTCTACGTTAGTTTGAAAAAATTTCAAACATCCGATTTGCAACCTTTTCTACAGCAAAATCACCTCCGAGTGCAAAGGGTTAATATTAACATAAACAACCAACTCCCTAATT